GAATAACAACAATAATAATTATTGTAATGATACTACTAATAATAATAATAACATTGAATAATGATGATTATGATTATGATGATAGTAAAACACTTCTTTTGGTAAATGTTTTATGGCTCTTCCAACAGCATAATGTTATGAGCGCGCGGGTGGCAGCCAAAACCTATTCTTATCGATTTTGGACCACCAAGGGATCTTTAACGTGCGCAACTTGCACACGCGACATCAGAGATTTTTCGCCCTTATCCGAGAAGACTGGGTGTAGATCTTACCTACCATAAGATCAAGAGTGTGGCTGAACGACAGCAATAAGAAGGAGCCAAGGAGTATCAATAGAAAGGCTGGAGAAAGAGTTAGGAGCCCAGAGGAGAAGACAAAGGGGGTGAGGGGGCGGGGGCACAAAGTAGAGACGGACGCAGACGACAGAACATTGTTCAGAGCAGGAAAGGATGTGAAAGGACAAAAAATGTCCGTCCCCTCCCTGGATTGGAACCCGGGACCTATTGAATGAGAGGCCAACACCTTAACCTCTAGAACACGAGAGACCCTAAAACACTTTATTGATCAATTGGGTAACAATGGCAAACACACATACATAAACTACATAATTAAACACACAAATACATTCAAAAATTGAAAGAATATCAGTATACAATATTACACCAATGCAGACAAATTTTCAAAATATTAGGCCATTGCTGGTCACCACTGTGCAGTGCCTCGTTTTTAACCTCTTGCTCAAGCACACACCCCATGCAGTGACCACCCATCTAAAACAAACCCGTGTCACCGACATTTGCCAGTTTGACATTCTAAAATTTTTAAGACACGAGGAGTATCAATAATTTTTTTTAAACCTAAGTACGAAGGAGTGGAGTTACGAATTTGAAATTTGAACAGGTTCAAGATACATCTTAACTAAGAATGTATACCAATAATTGGGAATTAGGATTAGCACTTTTCATTTTTGTTCACAAAATGGGCAAAATTGAAATGAGAGCTGCGATGAAGTTCCTTCATCTCAAAGGGAAAAAAAGCACGGCCTGCACACGATGAAATGTCAGTAGTGTATGGAGATATCTGCCCAAGCTATGATATGGTCAAATATTGATGCGTAAATGGATAAATATTTGCCCTACGAGTGGGAAAATGTCGGCTTAATTGATTGCATTCTTTTGTTGTTGTTGTTGTTGTTGACGATTTCACCATGATATCACACAGATTTTTATGGAAGTGGTCAGGGCTGCTGCACAGCAGCGAGAACACACACACACACTGGGCCACGGAGAGAGAGAGAGAGAGAGAGAGAGAGAGAGAGAGAGAGAGAGAGAGAGAGAGAGAGATGTTGTTTTTTGGGGTGGTTTTTTTGTTCTTTTTGTGCCAACATCAACAATAATCTTAGATTATTTAGGGAAAGACGTCCGGCTTTGCCTGTCAGGGCTAACTTCGGTTAAGAGGGATACGACAGCAGAAAGATCAAGATACTAGACAAAAATGTATCCCTATTCCAGAATCGAACTTGTGTGTCCTGCGTGTGACAGTGACACACCTAAACGTTACACCATTGACACCGGTACCAAGAAAGATAAAGAAACAAAGAAAGAAAGATACAAAGAAGCAAACAAACAAATGAACAACAAACAAATAAAACAACAAACAAACATACAGGCAGACATGTGAAGGTAGATATGGGCAGTCTGTAATTAATGCAACATGGCCAGGGGTAAAGGCAGAGAAGAGTGGAGACATACATGTTTGGAGAGAGAAAGAGAGAGAGAGTGGGGGAGGGGGGAGAAAGAGAGAGAAACAGAGAGACAGAGGAACAAAGACAGAGACAGAGACTGAGACAGAGATAGATAGACAGATATACAGACAGACAGAAAGACAGACAGATAGAGAGACAGACAGACAAAGTGAGAGACAGAGGCATAAAGAGAGAAAAGGGTAGGAGTGTGGAAGAGAAGACAGAGTAACAAAGGCGAGAGGAAAAGGAAAGAGAAGAGAGAAAGAGAGAGAGAGAGAGAGAGAAAGATAGAGAGAAGAGTGTGGGTAGTGTGTGGAAGGAGTGTGTGAGAGTGAACAAAAAGCCTACACAAGCGTCACCGGGAGAAAACCGCTGAATCAGGAGATCCAGAGAGCTGGGAGCAGACAGACAAGTAATGTACTCACCTTCTTGTTTGGTGGAAAACTGAAGTAAAAGTAAGGGGGGAGAGGAAGGGGAGGGAGGGGAGGATGGAGGGTAGGGTGGAGGAGAGGGGAAGGAGAGGAGGAGGCGGAAAGGGGAAGAGGAGAGAGGAGGGAGGAAGAGGAGGAGGAGGGGGATGGATGGTAGGGTGGAGGGAGGGGAGAAGGAGAGGACAAGGGGAGAAGGAT